ATTCTATTCTATTCTATTCTATTCTATTCTATTCTATTCTATTCTATTCTATTCTATTCTATTCTATTCCATTCCATTCCATTCCATTCCATTCCGCAAACAATAAAATACTCATCAAATAGATTAGACTAGTACACAAGGGACGAAGTTAGTGTCATTCCTATACATGATTCTATGGAAAATGACAATTATGACCCAGCTTTCTTCCTTGTGAAATTTTAATGATTGTCATTACTGATAGTAAATTATGTCATCCCTGAACATTTTATAACTGAAAATAGGGACAAACGTGCCATGTGCTTGTTCTTGTACCGAAGCCTAATTTTAGTCTTCCTGCCCTTTCATGTCACCTGTACTCCTTCTGAAGGCTCTGCTGAATCTGCTCCATTGATTTAATTCTAGACTTAAGCACTGAGATGTAAAAGTAAGTGATGGGTAAGTCATCCAGTGTTGAAAGACTTAAGAGCACGGGATTTTATAAATTTCATTGTGAAGGTCCTGTGTGCCTGGTCCTTGACTTTCAAGTTCCTAATAATAGTTTAATCCTAAATTTTAAATATGTTATTTGCACAAAGCTTTTACACCTATGTCTTTGAAATGGAGGTCTTATTAACTTAATGGGGGGGAATATTGCTGCAAATTATATACAGTTTTGTTAAAATGGTTTTCATATATAGAGATGTCACTTTATTAAAAGTTCAAAAAGCAAATATATTTAAACAAAATTGTTGGCAGATTTCATTCATCCAGACTGTTGCTGTAAATTTGATCCAATATTGTTTGTTGTCTTCAGAAATGGACACAGTTGGCACTAGCATTAACTGTGGAAATGCATTTTTGGCCACTGCAAAATCTTCTGATTTTTAAAAAGTAGAATCTAATTAGAGGTTGGATTCTATAGTACCCATAGTCTTGGTTTTAAACTATTCAAGATGGAAGGGAAGAAACCTATACTTTTATTTGATAGGTGCTGTTTTATTTATGAATTATATATATTTAAGTCGTTTAGCTGGTTTACCTGCAAGGGTTTTTCTTCCTATAGTGCAGGGGTGTCAAACTTGATTTTATTGAGGGTTGTGTTTGACCTTGGGGACCGGGATGAGCGTGGCCAGGATAGGCATGGTCTTTTACTGTTTCCAGGGCAGCCCCACGGGCCAGATCTAAGCACCATGTGCGCCGCATCCAGCCCCTGGGCCTTGAGTTTGACACCCTTGCTATAGTGTAATGTAATGTAGAAATGACCTTGAGAGACAGGGCAGAGACGCTGCCTAGAGAACAATCAGATAAAAGGGGTTGGGGAAGCCTGCAGCTGTATTACAGGCAGAGAAAGAAACTTAGAATGGACCCCACCTCCCAAAAAATTATAAGCCTGTAAGAAGAGAGGCAGGAGGCTTGTACTTTCAGACATGGAAGATTTTGTTAATGTAGCCTTACAATAATATAGAAGTAATTCATCTGGTCTGTCTGGTCTACTTGGGAAGAGTGACACATAATTACCTGCAATTAGCTTATATTTGCTGGTCGGAATAGAAAATACTGTTTAAAGTAAGGAATGAGCAAGAGGCATTGCAGACTTGGGTAACTATGAAGAATAGATTAAATTACTCTTGTTGGCAGGTGCTGAGAAAAATCCTGATGAGTTTCACTACTTTTATACAGCTGATGGCAGCATCTCATTTATTTGAGGTAGGAGACCACCAAGAAATCACAGCACTTTAAGTTTGACGTGGGAAGTGAATAACAAATTTCTTGAAGAGAGTAAGAATAATCCACTGCTCCATTCTTGCAAGAAAACAACATATATGTGGCCAGCAGAAATTTGGCTTAAATCGAAAGAGATTTTACCTTTTAAATAGGGCATCTGTCACTCTTCTCTCTTTCCTTTACATCACTTCCATTCAGTTTTCTCCCTTTCATTTTGGTCTTTTTCATATATCAATATCCATCTTTTTGTTTTAACTTTCTTCTGTTCCCCCCCTCTTCTTCTGTTTTTTCTTTAGAAGAAGGGGTTTGCACGTATTTGTCCATGTACTGTATGTGAGAAACCATGTTATATATAGATGAAATTATTTTGTAATCTGGTTTGAGTTGGATTTGATATTGCTAGCCTAAAAAGGACTGTCCTGTCCAAGTTCTTTTTTCCTGCATTGATGTTTGGATTCTTCCTAGAAAGGGTTTCATTTCTTTTCTTAAAATCAGACTCTTCTTCCTTTTGGGTAAATCTATAATAAATGTTATACACAAAAATATTGCTACACAGGATTCAGATATACTGCGGAACTTTTCAGTTACTGAGACAATGTATTTATTTGGATTACTAACCAGTCTGAATGCTTTGGGGGTAAAAAGGCAGAATATAAATTGATTGAATAATAACAATGATAAAACATATATTCCAACGTTTCATAGCTGAAAACTGACTTGTTACTTTAATTCCCTTGTTCCATAGCAGCTTGATTTTACAACACAGAGACAAAAGTGTGCGTTGCTGAAGGGGCTGCTCTGTTTGCTTACTGTGAAATTGTTATGATTCAAAATACGATTTGAACAGTTAAAAATAAACCTAATGAACATGTGAAATAATAATATGCTGCAATATGCTTTACTTACAATTGTATAAGTGCTTACAAATTAAGAACTGGTATGTTCAGTGGGGCTTACTCTCTAATAAAAATGTCTTCAGTATTTGAGGGTTTCTAACATATACTGCACTAAAAAGGAAATGCCTCTGCTTCTCTACTTGGAGATTCTGTTGTTTGAAAATGGAAGAAGACTGGTTAATATTAATAGCAATATAAGAATGTATGGTAAATGGATCTTAATTAGACATTCCCCACACTAAAAGCAATAGAAACCCAGGACTGTAATTAAGAGAGGGGGGGGGGATACAGAGAGAGCAAAGTAGCTTATGTTAAACAATGCAACAGTTTTAGAACTTGAGCTTAAAAAATAATTTCAAGCATTGAAGAACATCAACCATTTTTAGGCACTTGTTTTAGAAAAGGAGTTTGGAGCAGTCACACTGCTCTATCACCAGAGTAGGAAATCTATGTACTGAATAATATTTGTTTTCTCTTGCCTAGGATTCCTCAATGAATGCCATTAACTGATGAATGTGTAAAAAAAAATAGATAAGAAATGAACAAATGGAAGCATAGAGAGGTTTATTTTAGATCAACCAAACCTAGTATACATTGATGTAAAGTCAGTAATTTTGTGTGATACAAAATCCATCCTGTTTTTATTCATCATTTCCTTCTAAAGAAACTAGATTTTATTTAGTTCAGATGGAGAAATTTATATCCAAACAATTCTATCAAATGAAAAATCTCTTTAGAACAATTAGAACAAAATCTTTCTCAGGTAATACTGGGATGTGCTCTAAGAATAGAGTTGATATTGAGATAGATCTGAAAAGAAACCGTCAATTGTATGATTGTAGGCAGTCACATCTATTCAGAGTTAAATGTTGTTTGGGGCAAAATATAGTTTTAATGCGATAGCTTTAATATTTTGATGGAAATATTAATAGTACATTTAACTAATACCTAAAATATATATACTCCATGGTTTATTTTAGATTTGTTTGTCTGTTTTATATAAAAGTCCATTGAAGCATGAAGTTTCAGAGATGTTATTTCCTTATGTTCAATTGCATAAGTTGGAAAACATTAGTGGAAGAATGCAAGAAGATATGAACATATATTGAGAACATATTGTCTATTTCTTAGCAATTTGAATTTTATTGAGATATATGATTTAGATCTGTTATAAGATATTGAATAATGAACACTGTAACTAAAAGAACAAAAATGAATAGGGTCAGAAACCAAATGGAACTTTTTGTCATAATGTTCTCCAAATATTCTGTGAAATTATTTTTGACAAGTTAATTTATGGAATGAAAAAACCATCATTATGCCATTAGGAGAGGGGAAATTATAGGCTTAAAAGAGTAAGAAAGAACATAGCTAACTTGGATAAATTCAAATATCCGTGTTCAGATAAATTATATCCTAGAAAAGTATCACCTAAACTTTTCAACCTAGTACTTCTATATAAACCACTATGCCTTTGCACACTATCTAATTGCTAGTGTTTCCTGCATGTAAATATGAGTAAAATTTGACATAAGATTTTTAATGATTGTACTGATTACTTTTATCATGCCTTTTTAATTGCATTTAGATTACATACTAGTAATGTGCTTCATTAACATATACAGATTTAGTAAAGTAAATAAAATGAGATTTATTATAAGATGCTAGGGTAATCCTTGAGCTTGGTAGTTTTGACTTAACTTCATATTATCTAGAGGAAACCTGGATAGTAGCATTCCTAAATCACTAAAATAACAATATCCATATGATTTTGATGTTTCATTAGTATGGAATTCACTGAACTAATACTAATTCAAAGATATAAGAAGATGAAAAACAAATAGAAAGAAGCTTTGTTTTCCCCCATGGAGTGGAAATTTCACCTTGCAGCCACATAGTTTGATGTCTTCTTCTGTAGAAGATTTGCCTTGATTCTTCATCACTCTGAAGCTCAATTGTTTTTTCTTGCAGATTAAATAATTGGTCTCCCACTGTGCAAATGAATAGACTTGCAACCCAAGCAAGTATTTTCAAATCAATTCAGTATTTAAATCAAATCTCAAAGTCGTTCTTTAGTGCCTACAGATGAAAGCAAAATTCTTCTATCAAAATCTGAGTAGGATGTTTTCAGGAAATTCATGCTGAGAAACTATTCAAAAACTCTTCCGTCAGTGTTATGTAATTCCTGCTTCACAATGGAATTAATTAAATTAATTAAATTGCAATTATCACCTTGAAATTGCATATTTTGCATATTCATTATTCGCTGTGCAAATATTGAATTTTATCATATAATTCAGGTCAGCACACAGCAGAAATGGAACCCAAATACTCCAATAAAAATTAGCAGTCAAATCAATATGTTCTGAAAGTCTGTAGCATTTCAGTGACAAACATTGCTCTAAAACAGGGGTGTCAAACTTATATCATCATGGCATCACCTGACATATCAGGACTTTTTCCCCCTTCACTAAACCAGGTGGGGGCGGGGCAGCACGTGACATTCGGCCTGCAAGCTGTGAGTTTGACACCCCTGCTCTAGAATATTGAACAAACTAGGAGAAATGATTGCAGAACCATGCTCAATAGTGTTTGACCTCTTGGACAACTAGGAGGCCCCAGAAAAGTGGAGAAAGGTAAACCATTTCCCTACCTTCAAAAAGGTGAAGGAACACCTGAGAAATTATAGATGACAAAATCAAAGTCTTCAAACAGATGATAATGATATTATTTTTGTGCCTTTGAGTCAATGTGGATTTCTTGCCAGGACAAATCATTGTAATTTTCTTGACAAGATTTCAGAAGTGGCTTTCCCAAGTTCACCAAGTTCAGGTTGGCTTTGTACCTATAATGGGACTAGAATTCAAGTTTCTTTTGGTTTTAGCTTGATGCCTGATTCACTACACTAAACTGGCTTTAAAACAGAGTATTAAATGGCAAATTTTTGAAGTAAATATGAGTCAAGATGGATATGTCAAAACAAGTAATGCTAGATTATTTTTAAAAGATGGGGAGGGGGGAACTGCTTTGGATTTACTATACCTTGATCTCACCAAAGCTTTCAACAGTGTCTTAATATATTGTCATTATTAAAATAGTAAAATAAGAGCTAGATTATACAACTGTTAAAATGAATTCATAATTGGTTAAATTATCATATTCAGAAAGTACGATATTTGTGACTGGCTCCAAAACAGATTGGAAACTATCATTACATGGATCAACAATTGGATTAATTACGTGGTTGCAGAGGGCAGTTATCAAATCTGCAGAGGAATACCTCACTGCTGTGGAAAAAAAGTATTTAATAAAATAAATAGTCATAAACAATGGATTGAAATGAACAAGATCAGATTTATTGGGGGGAAATCTCTGGAAATTGGATAACAAAAATGCAATGTCAGAGAGGCATCATGTGGGAGTAGTAAAAGTGAAAAGGATGTTGATGTCTTTTTAGCTGCAAGTTAAAGCAAGCAGAGTGATGCAGCTGATAAAAAGGCAAATGGTACATTGGAAAGAACATAAACAAAAAGCAGAGGATAGCAGTGAGGTGGCATCATTATTGTTATAGCAACTTTTGGTTTTGATGTTTCTATCCCATTTTCATTTATATTTTTGCATTTAGATATCTAATGAATAATTGGCTTCTCAGACTTCTCCCTTCAATATGGATACAGATCTTCTTTACACACAGTCCTGAATGATAAGGAAGGAATTATTTCAATTTCTTCTAAACAGTGTGTCCTTTAAGCATCAGAGACCGGTGATTCAAATGAATTTGTTAATCAAGTTCATCAGTAATCTTGATTACAACTATGGTAGTAAAAAAAAAAGGCCAAATATTACATTTATTGCATTGTTATGGATTTAACAATTATATCTATCATACAACTGAATTCTGTATGCTTTTTTTTACAGGGGTGTGCCAAGAAAAGAAAATGATTCAAAGAAGATGACTTCTCTGATCCTGATGACTTCCCAGTGTTTGTTTCTTCATTCTCAGTCTTAAATATTTGGCTGGCTTCTTGCAAAAATGATCCAGAACTAACTTGGCAGTGAAATTTTACAAGCATTCATTCCCTGACTACTCTGTCTTTTTTACTTATGATGGTAAGTTGTTTTATTAAACTGCTAGAAGTTGTAGGTTTCTCAGTTTCAGTGTACAGATTCTGGAAAGAACGCCAAATGAATCAGAATTGTTTCATTTTCTGCTAGACTGCTAGAGTATATGAAACTCAAACTATTTTTTTTTGACTGAACAGAGTTATTTCATTTAAAAAAAAAACCTTTTTCAAATTACTCTAAAATACAAATAAAGTAGAATTTATTGAGACAAATAATAACACTGCTTTGCTACTTTGGGATAATTAGTTTCCTACTTCCCTTCCTTTTTCTTTATTATACTTCCAATCTTCTCTCTTCCATAAAACTGAATCATACTTTGATATTATGTGCTTGTTTATTTGTTTTATGTATTACCCATCTCACATACATGCCTGTCCTTTATAGACAATTTTCAAAAATGCTTATTCAAGAAGCAAATTATCAAAGATGGGTTACCTTGATTCTGGTTGCTTAGATGAATGAGAATTCTTTCTGAATGATGGGATCATGCAAATATTTATACCAAATAAAAAAATGAGACTATATTTTGATTGTGCCTTTAGAATATTGCAATACTGATCTTACAAAAAAACAAAATGAAAACATTCATAATTTGCAGATGTGGGTCCCAAACCACAATAGATGAAACAATAAACTGCAATGTTTGACTAGCTTATTGAATTAGAGTTACTTGGAATTTGTAAAAAAAATGTTGGTGTATGAGTTTATCATCAGCATAGGTAGTCCTCAACTTACAACCATTAGCTTAGCAACCATTCAATGTTACAATGGATCCCATCCAAAACTACTTATAAGTCTGTTCCAGACTTCCAAAAATAAATCTTCTCACAGTCACATGACTGCATTTTGAGTGCTTGGCAATTGGCTAAACTTTATGGCTAGTTGCAGCATTCAGTGATTACATGACCATGTTTTATTATTTCTTTTACCAGTTTCCAGATTTTTTAATGGTTTCTGTCAAAAAACTGTTAAAGGAATGTATTGATTCACTTAACAACCACAGTGTTAACTTAACGACCAGCACAAAAAAGTTATAAAATTGGATCTGATCATGTGAGTGTCTTGATTTGTGACAACTATGACTTATGAAAATTCCTGGATCTATTGGGGTCATAAATCAAGCAACTTTATTGTTGACCAAATGCAATAGAATCCTATTATTTTGTTTGAAAAAGCAATTTACCTATATAAAATGTAGGACTTTTCGGATTAAACAGAGTGACTGACTCCATACCAGGTGTAGAAATGCTATAATATGCTAGGTCAGCTGTGCCCAATTGGCTCATTGTTTCAGAAGTATTTCTTTATCTATACAGAAAAACAGATTGACCAAGGCTGGGCAAAAAAATTGTGAGAGTAGGAGTGACTTCTGATTTCCTGCTGCCTTTCCCGTTTAGTTTCCTTATAGGAATCTGGCAGGAAGCATTGAAGATCTCCCTTCCCTTCCCTTCCTTTCGTAGAAGCAGATAAATGGCTACTGCTAGATAGGGGAGAAGGCAAGGAATTGTAAGACTGACTAGAAATTGTCATGAACATTGAAAATGGGGGTTACATGGCTGCAGCAGTTATGTAATAGCAGTCAATAACATTGTAGGATCCACAACTTCCCCAAATTTCATTTCCTCAGGAGTCATGAGTTCTGGATTTTGGACATTTTTCTGTAAGTTAGTCCATTTGAGGCACCTTATTTCAAAAATGGTTGCCCTATAATGCATCGTTTTATCCAGTGCAAGGTCACAATAATGAGAGTTTTAGCATATAGATTTATATTTGTGGCTTCAAATTGGTCCTAATTTCTGATGGCTCCCTGGACAAGTCTCTGCAATTTTCTAGGCAACATTTTCAGAAATGGCTTGCCATTACCTTCTTCCTAGGGCTGAGATGACTGGCTCAAGGTCATTCAGCTGGCATTGTGCCTGAGGCAGGACAAGAATTTATAATCTCCCTATTTCCATATACAATTTTTAATGTCTTGTTTAGTTTTGCTTTGTTTTTGCAATTTTTTCCCTTTTTTTGAAATCTGTATTTTAACGTTATGAATAAAATAATAAAATAAAAAATATTTCAAATACTATGTTTCTATATGTGCCAATTTAAAATATAAACATCTCAAATCTTATATGTAAACAAGGGTGCATCTCTGAATATTTGCCATTCATTTGTCCTTCTGTAACTAACACTCAATGACCTTATGTAAACAGAATATTGAAGATGGCAATGGCTATATTGCTATTAGTTATATATAGGACAAAATGTATTTATTGTTAATGATTTGAAGGTTTAATTATTATGAATTGAATTCTAGTATAAAGTGAAATCACCAGGTTGTTTTTATGTGCACCCATGTCTTCCTTAGTACTTCACTTATGCTACAGCCAGTCTTATTGACATATAATCTTTAGAATGAGCCATTTGAGATGGTAGCACTGTACTGAAAAATCGCATCCACATTAATTACATATTCAATAAGCAAGTCTTTCTCTAGGGCCCACCTTGATTGTGTGACTTTTGAGATACCAGTTTATGGAACATGAACCATGTTCCTTTCTGTTGCATCCTCTTATTTTAAATTTTGACCAGCACAGCATATTCATGGTCCTCATTTTTAAATCTCTTTTTCCTGTGTATCAGTCACCAAAAAGTTGTGGCTTGCTAGCTGTTTCTCTAAGACATCAGTTCCCTTGCAACATAATTTTAAACATTATTATTTGTTGAGGCAAACTTGAAAAATAGCGTGGTAAATGCTGTACTGCTAGACAAATTCATTTCATTTTTTGGAAAAGAAAATACTCCAACACAGTTGTGCCACGCTCAGAAACTGGGAAAGAAATGCAGAGACCTTTTAAAAAGCCTTGCTCATGAAAATTATGTTCCAGTCAATTATTCTAAATACTAAATATACTTGTAAATATGATAATAAAGTTTTACATGTCAAGAATATTTTTGGCGGCCTGTTCCAGCTTAGATGTTTTCTAAGGCTCTTTTTCAACTGTTTCCTAATGGCCTAGTTTTCATAACTGTGTTCAAGATAAACATCCATCTAGTCAAGTGGCCTAGACTAAGGCTGCTTAAGCAGCCTTACACTTAATTAATCTTGATTATATTGTGAATTTCATGCTATATATAGTATACTTTCTTTTTCTTTACTTTTTTTTTTTACTGTTTGGAAGTTTCTGTTATTTAACTATCTAGCACTGAGGTCATAGCTTTGATAGATTTTAATCCCCTTATATGTATAAATATAAGGAATGTGATAATTTTCATCTGTATTTCTGATTATGTTGTTCTTTAGAAATCATTCTTTTTTTTATTTGATTTTGAAAAAAATTACTGACGTTATCTTGAAACTTGCATATTTTAAAAAGCTAATTAGATCAGCAAGTAAAGATGAGCCTTATACATTGGGGGGGGGGGATGCCATGGGCCCTTGAGAAGAATTATTTGTTATCAACAAAAATGTAAGGGATTCCAGTTCTTGTTGTTGTTGAAAGAAGTCATTATTTGGGGTTGCAGTGAATGTGCTAAGTGTGTTGCAGAAAAATAAGCATATTTTTTCACAAAACAGATAAAATACAGTTTCTTGAATCTTCCCCTTCCCAACAGTCACATGTTCAGTGGGAGGGAAGTGTTGAGTTCCTTAGCAACAACAGGGTATATCTACTCAGCTATAGAAGCTTACTGGTTATGTTTGGACCAGCTGCTATCTCCCAGCCTACAATGCCTCGCAGGACTCTTTTGAGGATAAACAGCTGTTGGGAGACACTATTATGCCAGCTTGAAATCCATGGGACAAGAAATGGGGAATAAAAATGTATTAAAATAGTAATTACTAAGACATTTCTTGTGCAACTAAAGATTGCCTTGAATCAAATTATTATACTTACCTATAATTGTTTATATGTGCCATTTGTTTTAGTTTGTAATTTTCATTCTTGTTCAGAATGGCACTTCTATTATTTTTCTTTTGGCAGCCTAACAGAAATAAGTTGCTGAGTTTCACAGCCAGTATTCTCTTCAATGTCCCCAAATACGGGAAATAACTTAGAATCAGGCTAGCTGGCAACTTTTCCTCAGTAGTTTCTCTCTTTCCTGTGTGACATGACATGAATCTCTAATTTCTTTTCTTAGACTGTTTTTCTCCTCCAAAGCTGGCAGCCATACGAACCACTTAGTTTTTATTTTTGGCATTGCTGATTTTTTTTTATTCTATATTTATTTAAAACTATATACGTTTGAGTAATTATTTCAAGTGACTTACAAAAAGGAAGACTAATAGAATTATATAAAGAGATACAAACATAAAAATACAGCCATGACTCATTTGCTAAATTGCCCTTTAAATGGGATAGAAATTAGTACAGTTAATCTTGCAGGTTGACATTAAAAATATTTTCAAAACTAACATGTGAGAGCAATAGACAAATTAGCTCCAGTTAAAATTTTTAATATCCTTAGTTTACAGACCCTCTAATACTATTCTGACTGAGAATGAAGTACATCAGTAGATCAGTACTGTTCATTAATCAGCCAGTTGACCAATTTAGTGAAGTAAAGCAGTCCAGTGCCCACAGGAAAAGTTCATTCTGTACCATCCTTTTTTTGTTGGGAAACAGAGCAGGGAACAAAGTCCAGGAAATGCATTTGATTCCTCTGTTGGAAAGAAAGACAATGAATAGCACGGAAACCTGCTTTGCCAGAATCTATTTTATGCTGCTATTAATTGCATTATCAGATTTGCAGATATCTCTCTCAAAAAATCACTTTTCTTGTGTATATTATAGTATTTTGAAACAATTTATTTTGATCCCAATAGGGAATTATAGCATTTGCCCTTGACTTGCATGGCAAATATAGAAAAACATTGATACACAATCCAGCGAAGTTACTTCAAATGGTACCTTCTCCAATCCATTTAAAAATGGCTGTTTATGTTTTGGTAGCTTCTATTTTCTACATTTTACATATGCTAATATAAAATAAAAAAT